AACCGTCACGCCGGTGGTCGACTGCGTTGAAAATCCCTTTCGCCCACATCATACACGGTTTAATTCGCTTAATCCCCCCTCCATCATGGCCTACGTTCTGACAACGTCAAACCCGGTCGAACAAGTGAAATTGGATCGTCCGTTTGACTTTTCCGGTTTCCGGTTTCCGCCCACAATTTGCTACAACAACCGAAAAATATTTCTCGCGGCCGCCAACATTATTTTCGACGATGTACATTCGTTGATCAACAACAAACGATACGCTATATGGAACAAAAAAAAAAAAAAGAAAAGAAAAAAAGAAAAAATTGGACGATATTTTTCCATTGAATTCCGTCGATGATTTTTCTCGCTTCGAAAAAAATTAACAACAATCGTGAAATGAGCCACGATGAAAAGTTCCAGGCGGCTAACTATTAACTCTTGTTAATCCTTGGTTAGAATTATTCGAATTCAAAAGTTGCGCGCGTCACAGGGAGAGTCGAAGCTGCTCGATATTTCCAAGTATAATTTATTGCCTTCCGGCAAAACTACCAGTGGCCTCGTTTCCTGCCGCGCTCACGATAAGGGACAAAAATTATTCAAATCCCAAACGGATTTTGTTCCGGCCCCGTTCCACCAACCGCCAAGAGGTTGCCCCACCCAGCTGTAACTCGATACCGAGGGTCCTTTCTCGTTTGCCCATCTGAAATATTTACGAGATTGGCGACAAATTGACAATCTTCGACTCGAGATCGACGGGCAACATTTAGATTCGAGGCGACGAGTGTGGCTTTCGTTCAGATCTGGAATCACATTGCTCGATTATTCTTTTCTCTTTTCTTAAGAAAGAGAAAGCGTTTGAAAGGAAATGGTGTGACGAGTTCGAAAAGAGTTGGATTATAAAACATTTTCCAATTGAAACGGAACGCTTCAACGTTCGTTTTCTCGTCCATACATCTTTGTTTCTTTCGTCTTTTGTTATCTTTGTTGTCATTGAACCGATATCCAACGTTTTATATATATATATATGTATGTATATAATTTTCGTTCTACTCGCGGCCATTTTGTAAACGAGGCTGGCGTGTTGCGATCGTGTCGTGCAGGATCTCGTCGACGGGACAAGGAGTGAAAGGAGGAGGAGGAGGAGGAGAAAGTGAAGGATCGTTCTGAACTTTTTGATCGATGAAAAAGTAATCGTTGACCGTGAACCGTAGAGGTTCGTTTATCTCGATTACGTAAGCCACTTCCTTTTAATTACCGCTTCATTTTCATCGCGCTTTTAATTATAACTTCGAGCCGGACAGGCCGAGCTCGAGTTACGGCGAGTTAAAAGTTTTCTTTACCGGTTTTTTTTTCTTTTTTTTTTTTTTTTTTTCATAATTTCGTTTGTTCGTTATTTCCCGTTTAATGAGTTCGCTTATTGTGTGAAACGCATTTAATGACTTTAAGGCCGTGTCCCGCACGGCTAATTCGTCTCCGGGCATCGGGGCGTTGTAGACCACGTTGTGCAATTCCCTAGGGAAAATATAGGGAATCCCATATGAAATTACGGTTCACGGTTCGATCGTCTTAAAGATGAAATTTCGCTCCAAACGTGTTTCGATCGTTCAATCGTAATTCTCTTTTCTTTTTCTCTTTCGTTCACGATCATTTGGAGAAGAATCGAGAGATTTATTTTTATCGATATGGATTGTTTTAGTACGTCTAGTTTAGATTAAATTTCGAATAGACAAGGGAGGATCGGCTAGATACGAGTTTGCAATGGAAATAGCAGGACGTAACGATTTCAAACGGAACTTGATAGGTCTCGTGGTGCTGACTGAAAGTCAAAGACGTGGAATTGTCATTGAATTAAAGCTGGCGATAATCAAACGTGGATCTATATATATATATATATATATAGAAAGACGTTTGTAGTTACGTTTCGATTCGAGTCCTTTCGCACGTGTATAGATTTTCACGTAGATTGAATTAATCTCGACTTGGTTGAAGCGAATTTCTATCATTAGACGTCATACGTTTCATTAAATTAATTGAATCCGGATGGACGAGGACGAAAGAAATTGAAGGATTCCTAATGGAAATGATTTCTTTTTTAAAAACTATGATACATTCATTTTCATTGGATGAATTAATTTCCAATTTGATTGGAATAAAATTCTATATCGTTACCGTTTTCAGATTTCAAAGTTAAGTAATTGAATCTATAAGTGGAAGAAGTGGAAGAATTAAAGGTTAATCAGCGATATCAAAAAATACTCGTTTCTATCTAATATTCAAATATCCAATAATATTAATATTATCTCTCCGTGTATCCCAATTCTTCATCCATACCGTACGTAGTGCGTGGAAAGCAAAAACTCGAGCAATTAATAAAGAGGGCAAAAAAAAAAAAAAGAAAAAAAGAAAGAAGTTATTTATCGAAAAATTCGCCGTTTTAATTAGCACTTGTAGAAAGATAGAACTGTTATTCGGACGGAACAAAGGTATTCCAAACAATTTCGTGTCACGTAGCGACACTTTCAACCGAGAGATCTTTTCTTGCCCGAGGGCCAAAGGGGTTTTGCGCTTTCACAAGATAACTTGTGCGCTCGACCTTTTCTCGCGCTCCTCCCAACGCTGTCTAGCCCCAAGGAGTTTACCGGTAACTAACAAACGCTCTTTGCGCTGCTAACGCGAACGAGTGACAACCAAGTTCCTTTTTATGTCTGCTGCCTGTTATGCGTCCTCGTCCATCGATTCGACGTGTACGCTCCTCTCCATAACAATATATCTCGCCAATTATCGTTTGCGTCAAAGAAGATTTTTTTTTTTTCTTCAAATTTCTTTGAAGAATTTTCATTTCTCGTCGATGCAATGACGTGAGGTGACGAGAGAACGTCAAGAAATTTCGGTGAAATGAAATTTGTTTGTATAACATTGTGTTATATTGTCGGAGAAAAGCGATTCGACGAAATTTGAAAAACTAAAAAAACTGGATGGGGCGGGAGTAACTCGTATTTCCAATATTTGGAAAAATAAGGGTGAAGGTTTAGAAAAATATTGACGATTCGACGAAATATCGGCGATTGAAAAGAGAATAGATAATTCGCGTGTGATTGATAAGATGAAATAATATTCAAATTTAAGAAAGCGATCGCAAGAAAAGATTAAAGAATTTTTGAAAATTTAAAATAAACCCAGTTTCGACAAATGTAATTAACGAAGCTTCTCTTGAACAAAAACTCGAGTTATCTTAATCTTTTTTCTTTTCAATCGTATCCGATTTATTTATATATTTTGACTGAAAAAAAAACTAGGATTTCGAATCGAATGGAATGAAATTAGAAGAGGTGTTTGCGCGTGCTCGAATTCGAGGATGCATACCTTCTCATGCGATATCTCGTGCGTCTGTATTCCGCGAAACCGTATGTTTGTACGATGTACAAACACGCCAACACAATGTTTATCCGAGCAGCGTTTCGAGTGGCGTGGATATGCAACACGATTTATGCAAACACGTATCTTGTAAAATCCATTCGAACGACGAAGGGATACAGGCCCTCTCTTCATTTACCTTACCTTCAATTCGGACGTTAGAAGAAACTTTAGAAGTCAAAGATTCTTGTACAATTCGAAATTTGAACGCGGCATAGGATAAGAAACGGAAAGTAAAAGAAGCTTCTTTCCTCCCCCTTTTTTTTTAAGATTCTTGTATAATTCGAAATTTGAACACGGTATAAAATAAGAAACGAAAAGTAAAGGAAGCTTCTTTTTTCCCTCTTTTTTTTTTTAAAGATTCTTGTACAATTCGAAATTTGAACACGGTATAGAATAAGAAACGAAAAGTAAAGGAAGCTTCTTTTTTCCCCCTTTTTTTTTTTAAATATTCTTGTACAATTCGAAATTTGAACACGGTATAGAATAAGAAACGAAAAGTAAAGGAAGCTTCTTTTTCCCCCCTTTTTTTTTTTAAAGATTCTTGTATAATTCGAAATTTGAACACGGCATAAGATAAGAAATGAAAAGTAAAAGAAGCTTCTTTCCTCCCCCTTTTTTTTTTAAGATTCTTGTACAATTCGAAATTTGAACACGGCATAGGATAAGAAATGAAAAGTAAAAAAAGCTTCTTTCCTCTCCTCCTTTTTTTTCTTTGAATGCGTTTGCCTTTTCCTTTCCTTCCCCTTTTCTTCTTCTTCTTCTTCTTCTTCTTCTTCTTCTTCTTTTTCTTTTCTCCTCTTTCGAAACGAAAACGACACTCGAACGACACAAATTTTTAAAATCTCCTTTGCTCTCTCAACATCTCTCGAAATATCCTCTTCCCCCGACACTTCATCGAATTTCAATCCGCGATAGCCGATTTGCGGGAGAGCTTTAAACGCGAATAAAGTTATTATTATAAGGAAGGATAAAGGTCAACTTGAATCGAAGAATTCGCTCGATTTAACAGGTTTATTATATTCCCGTTATAACAGCAAGAATATACTTGTTTCATACCTCTGTTAATATTCAATAAGGCTATGCTATGTCTCTTAATGGAGAAGATAAAGCACAAGTATTTGTTTCCAACTTATTCCCTTATACCACATACTTACATCTCGTTTTCCATTTTCGTTTCGAGGAAAATAAATATTTCAAGAGAATTGGAAAAATCACGTTCTTATCGAATGCTCAAAAGAATGTTTTCGAAAACTGGATAGGAGAGCTTTATAAAACGTTCTCGATCAAATTCTTCTTCTTCCTTCTTATCTATCAGATTATCGTATTTATCAGATTTATCAGATTACACATTTATTTATCAGATTAGAATTCTAGCGTTCTAATAAGCGGCAGAAATTTTATAAATATTCCCTCTCTCTCTCTCTCTCTCTCTTTCAATCGGCGATCTCGTTTATATTTAACGTTCGAAAGAATTTTAATTTTTATATCATCGTTCGATAACACAATCGGTCGATATCAAATTTTCCGCGACTCTGATGATTCTCATTTCGATTATTACCGTGGAAACTAGAGCATCGTAATAATTTTCAATCGTTATTTTTGATAACCTCCCCCGCATTCCTCCGAAATTTCAACCGATCCCAATCCCGCGACCGGCTTCCACAAATTTTTTCCAATTATTTCTTTATCGCTCGTGGAAGAAGTATACGAATATAGAAGTCGACTTTATCATTACAGCGCGAGAAAATGACAAACTTCTGCGTTATTCCTCTTCGAGGGAGGAGGTTGAGTTAATGCTAGACGGCGGATTTTATTATTACAAGGTAAGAGCTGGTTTATACGTATATTCGACCGCGTTGTTATCGACGTTTATATAGAGAAACAAGGTCGAAGAAACTCGAGAGACTTTCAAGTTTCTTCTCTCGGCGTGCTTTCTCCTCCTCCTCGACGAGGAGGATTATTTATTTCTCGTATAATTAATTAAACGAAGATTTATTCTGATAACTAGTTAACAACGAGGACAAGTTCACGAGCCAAGGGAAACTTGGATCCGGGAAGAAACGGGATGGAGCTAAAAACCTTGTTCGCGTTCGCCAACTTCCCAATTGGTATCGGTTTATTTAGGTGAATACTTGAACGCTTCCTTCCTTCCTTCCAGAAAGACAGAGAGAGAAAAAGAGAGAGAGAGAGAGAGAGAGAGAGAGAGAGAGAGAGAGAGAGAGAGAGATGATTCTGCATTTAGAGGCCCTATAAGGTAGGGTAACGTCTAGTTTATGTAACGGTTTCATCGATCATCGACACAAGGGTAGGTTGGCGGCATAAGAGGGGGTTGGCCTGTTACGAGTTTCATCAGAACTTTCCTGCCTACTAGACGTCGTTCGTAACCCCCTATCGCTTTACGATGCAATGATACGAGGCAACCGATGTGTCGAAACGAAACGGAAATATAAAACGTGGTTTACTTCTAACGTTTCAATGTGAAAAAAAAAAAAAAAGAAAAAAAAAGCTAAGGGGAATTTCGTAGTGATCGAATTAAATAATTTTTCACTTTTTTTTCTTGAAATGTAACGCTTTCTTTCGCTTATTTTCGCTTATCAGCATTCAAGAATATCCACAACTCCGAACTCTTAAATCCTTATTATATATTAATCCTGAAGAAAAGTGTATATAAAATATTATTTACGTTAATATCATTACCGTGGACAGACAGATTGGTACAAAAACTATTAAAAATAATATCCTCACGCGCAGATATCGGTGCCAGAGACGAACGAAAAATCGATATAGGGCGAGAAATTAATAAATGGAACACGAAAAATGGAAGAAAAGAAAAGAAACAAAAAAAAAAAAGAAAGAAAGAAAGAAAGAAAGAAAGAAAGAAAGAAAAGAAAAATGAAATCTTCGATGGATTTACGATTTCGAAACTTTATCCGGAGGATTAATCGCGGCGATATTTATGAGAGGCGGCCTGCCTCCCTCTCCAAATGAATCGCGCGTGCTCCACACCTTTTAATTCCGGTCTCCAGCAGGTGGATCCGGCTCATGACAGGCTCATTCCGCTAATTTTCCGCGAGAATCATCCCCGGGAGCCGGGGGAGGGGGAGAGGGGATCCTTAATCCTGATAAATGGGAAAATGACCCCCGGCGTGTCTCTCGAGCGGGGACTCGTTTTTCCGAGTGGCGGAGAGAACCCGTTAATAAATTTGTGTTTACTATGTCTGGCCAGTCCGCGGGATATTTTTGTGTCTCCGGCTATCTCCTACCGCCCCTGCGTGGAACGCATAAATATTCAGGTGGCGGTGGAGAGGGGGAGGATGGCTAGTTCTCCCTGTATTAACCAATCTCTGCGTTCCACGCAATCTCGTGCCACGTGTTCCACGGATTAGGATAGTTTAATCGCGTATCCGATATAATATATAGCTTAAGCTTGAAATAATTGGTACGTGAAAGGAATGTTGTTTTTCTTTCTTTCATTGTTGTGCTTCAAAGAATCTTTTTTTCCTTTTCTTTTCTTCTTTTCTTTCTTTTTGTCGGAAGGAATATTTATCGTTCGCGGTGAATTTGTTAACGGAGATGTCTCGATGTAAGCTGAAAGGGAAGGTTCTTCTTTCTTGTTGTTGAATGTACACCGTTCATTTTTAGTCAAAAGAAATTTGCGGTTTATGCGCAAAGGTTTCCGGATATTGTTTTTAACAATCTAAACACAGCTTTTAAACAATCTATATTCGAGAGAAATATTCTTCCTCTTTCTCGTTATATCGTTCTTGTTCTTGGCTCGATCAAAAGTCTTCTCGTTTCTTTCGAAAGAAGAAAATTTTTCTTTTCGTTCGAGTGCAAGTGATATAGTTAATCTTTCAAGTTTCAGAGACTAATTTATGCAAGAAGATTGTGAATATTGTTTTAACTTAATCTAATCTTTAAACAATCTATAGGTGAAAGAATATTCTTCTTTGTTTTTGTGTGATTTGCAGATTTGTTATTTCAACTTAATCCAGCTTTTAAACAATCCGTACGTAAAATAAAGGAATATTTTATTTCTAGTATTAGATTGGTGAAAGATCTTTTTTTCAAAAGAAATTTGTATGTTACACAAATGAATTTGCAATGTACGATGTAGATATCGTCGACTTAATCTAACCTAAGCTTTTCTAATGAAACAATCGATTTCAAATTTTTCGATATCAAAATAGAATATAAAGAAAAAAAAAAGAAATAGAAAAAATTAACGCATTCACAAGTAAAGCGAAATTATAATCGATCATTTCCTATCACGGAATAAATAGTTTCTTAGATATCAAAGAATTTAATACGGAATAATTATCGAAGCAAAGACTTCCTAACCTAACTTTTCCATGTTAGAATAGAATATTTAAAAACAGAAAAAAACAAACAGAAATGATTAATACGTTCACAAATAAAACAAAATTTATTGATCGATCGAATCATTATCGAATTAATCGATCATTTCCTATCACGGAATAAATGATTTCTCAGACATCAAAAAATCTAAGGAATCTATAGGATAATTATCGAAGCAAAGACTTAACCTAACTTTTCTAATAGAACAATCGATTTCAAACTTTTCGATGTCAAAATAAAATATTTAAAAACAGAAAAGAAATTAGAAACGATTAACGCGTTCACAAATAAAGTGAAATCAATCGATCATTTCCTATCACAGAATAAATAATTTCTCAGACATCAAAGAATCTAATACAGGATAATTATCGAAGCAAAGATTTAACCTAACTTTTCTAACTTAACCTAACTTTTTTAATAGAACAATCGATTTCAAACTTTTCGATGTCAAAATAAAATATTTAAAAACAGAAAAGAAACTAGAAACGATTAACGTGTTCACAAATAAAGCGAAATCAATCATTTCCTATCACAGAATAAATAATTTCTCAGACATCAAAGAATCTAATACAGGATAATTATCGAAGCAAAGACTTAACCTAACTTTTCTAATCAATCGATTTCAAACTTTTCGATATCAAAATAAAATATTTAAAAACAGAAAAGAAACTAGAAACGATTAACGTGTTCACAAATAAAGCGAAATCAATCATTTCCTATCACAGAATAAATAATTTCTCAGACATCAAAGAATCTAATACAGGATAATTATCGAAGCAAAGACTTAACCTAACTTTTCTAATACAATCGATTTCAAACTTTTCGATGCCAAAATAAAATATTTAAAAACAGAAAAGAAATTAGAAACGATTAACGCGTTCACAACTAAAGCGAAATTATTCGATCATTTCCTATCACAGAATAAATAATTTCTCTGTGCGATGTGTTCTCGCGAGGTGATGGCAAACGTCAAAGAATCTAATACGGGATAGTTATCGAGGCAAAGATTCCTCCTTCTCTTCGCGAATGTGAATGATCGAAATGAGGGTGACGCGGGAATATAAAACGCGTACGCGACTCGGTGTTCCAAGTTTCGATCACCTTCGTTCCGCTTTGATACAAAGACACGGATGTGATAAAGAATGGCTTCTATCCGACGACGTGCCGCGGAAGATCGATCAAAGCTAAGCAGATGAAATTTTTCATCGATGCCTTCTGAATACGGGAACGAGGCCGGAGTTTCGTCATCCTATATCTATTGCGCGTTTTATCGTTTCCCATCCAAATCATTCTCTTTTAATGACGCCTCTTCCTCCCCTCTCTCCCTCTCTCCACTTATTCCCTTATTTTTATCGCGCCGTTCTTTTTCCTCCCTTTTATGGAAAATGTTTTGAAACGAGTTATATTCATATAACTTATATTCATATATATATATAAGATTATTCGAAGAAAGTTACGTTGATCTTTTCGTTTGGTTTCGTTCTTGTATTTCGAAGAGGGGGTCGTTTCGAGAGAAATTACCCGCTTGTTCCATCTATCGTCTTCGCGTTCGCATTTTTTTCTTTCCTTTAATCGTTTATCAAATTTTCACCTCTACCTCTACTGCTTCTCGTAACAAATTCGTGCGACGTCGATTTGTTGCGAAAGTACGATTAGACTGTTGAGCCTGATTTCGCGAAATTCCGTCAAAGCGGAGGGAGGATAAATACGCGTGCCACGCGTACAAATACGATTAAGGGAAGGGAGGAGCATGAACGTTGATGCAACTCGTGAGCGCAAAGGTCTCTGACAGAAACACTTCTCAACGTAATGCTGGGACCAATCGAGCAACTGTGTACGACTACTACCACCAAGTTACCACGGTTCCATTGTAATCTGAAGTCGCTATTAGGGGAGAGGGCGCAGACGTCTCGTATTAACCCTCCAACAATGCGAGGGATACGAATGGTTAGCGTAATTTGCCAGTGTCGAAATTCGTGGATGCACGAAGTCTCCAGACGTTTCACCCTCCCCGGTTTCAACCCCAGTCAGGAGGACCCATGCCACAATTACAAGCGCGAGGTTTCCATTTCGATTTCCCTTCTATCCTATACGAAGGGAAAAAAAGAAGGAATCTTTCTGTATAAATCGCGCGAATGCACAAGGATTCTTTCCCGATTTCTTCTTTCGCTCGAACGTGATCGATACACCTTTAACCCTCTATCTTGTACCAATCTTTTATCGATCCGTCTGAGAAAGGAATCTTCCTTTTTGCTTCTTGTATAAATTCTCGAACACGCTGTTTCACTTCTCGTTCCTCGACAGAGAATTTCGTCACCGTTCGATTTTTATTAGCCAGTATCCCCGAACGTGATCGCCTCGACGATCTTCCATCGGTGTGGAAACAAAAAAAAAAAGTATCGATTCGTTGGAGAAAACGTGTCCAAATGTTCTTCTGCTCGCGTGGAAAAAAACCTAGCATTTTCGGACCTTCGGTTTCAGAAATTCGAGGGTGCATTGTTTAAGACGTTTCACCCCTCGTTTCAATCCGGTACAAAGGATCTCTCCACTTCTTTCGACTTTCGCCCCAAGTGATCAACCTCTTCTATCCCGTCTGCGCGCAATTTCCTATCGAAATTTAAAAAAAAAAAAAAATGAAGAAATCGTCTTGCGATCTTTAAGAAAAAGTAAAAATTGAAAAATTGAAAAATTGTTTTGTTTTAACCTCCTCCTTTAAAAGTATTTAAAGGTTTACCATTCCAAATCAATCAAATTAATCTTCGTTG